ATTTTATTTGAGTTTTGCAATGTGAAGTTTCAACATACGCATAACGGAAGGGACGAAAAGTCAAAAGGTTTTTGTTGCGTCGTGCACTTTAGTTTTGGGATTACAACTCGCTTGAAAAAAAAAAACGAGAAATTGAAGTTCCGTTATAGTTTTTTAACACATTTAAATTTTTACTATGTTCTAATATATACTATTGTAGATATTTCCCAGTAAATAAAAAGGGCAGTTCTAAATTCAGCACATCTTGATTAGTTGAGAAGAGTATCACGAATCTGTTAAAGTTTGACTAATATCTTTACTGCATGGATTGATTGATTCCCATGTGGAGCTAGCAATTCACAAAAAGAAGAAGCCAGGATGCCTCTAAAAGCTACAAAAAGATTTAGACATTATTTGATAGTTTTTTTTTTTTTTAAATGCAAAATACCATCAAAACCTAAGCGGGGTTTTTAAGTTTCCACCTTGATTTGATGGGGGAAGGGTTTAGATTTCCCGGCTTTGTATTGTAGATGTCGAAATCATGTAAACGTGGGAGGAGAACGCGTCTATCTTATGTCGATAACTCCATAACATACATCAAGGTGGGAGAAGAGAACTCAAGGAAAAAAATAAATCTGGAAGTACTACTTCCATTACAGTGCAACTGAATAACAAAATAATCACAAAAACTAAGGGTCTGTTCTTTTTACCATTTTCAAGCTGTTTTCTGTTTTCGATTTTTCAAAACAGTGAAAACGCATTCTCTTTTCCATTTTCGAAAATGCGTTTTTGAAAACAAGTTAAAAATTTACAAAGAAAATCTAAAACGACAAATTTGTTGTTTTGAGTGTTTACAGTTATAATTAAATCAAAATTTTCAAAACACGTTTTAGATGTTTTCAAAATAGACACTCAAAACACAAAATCCAAAACGAATTCAAAACTTAAAACACAAAACTCAAACACAAAAAGAACAACCCCTAAGCAACGCAATGGACTTTTTTTTTTCGTCTTTTATATTGTTTAACATTGTACCATCCATATCCCGGTAAGCCAAACGGTCTTTGTTTTGAGTACATAAGCAGGCATTCTCTCATTGGGTTGCGTTTGAAAGTAGGAAAGCAAGATAGGTATATCCAACCCATTTCTTGCATGTTGTCATTAAAGGCTTTTATTTGTGTTTTTGTTTCATTATCTTCTTCAGGAAATCATCATTATTCCTTTTTAGCATGAACAGACTACTGATTAGAACGACATGATAGCTCTTTGTTTGATTATTGACTAACGCAATTCATTGCTGCCACATTTTAACGTTACGTTGTCAAAATAGGCAGGCTGCTGTCCTCTGATTATGTTTTTCATTGAGTTTAATTGTAATGTATTTTAAGAGGAATAATGGTGGGAACCATCGAAATGTGTGGATACCAACGAACGAGTATAAATCTTGAACGTGTAATTGAAATTAAAGTTTGAGTATAAGAGGATGGTAGAAGTAACTTTTAAGTTACTTATAATGTAAGTACAACACCTGCAAAGATTATCTTGCAATAGACTATTTTATTCCTCTTTATCGTTATGATTCCTATACAAAAACTTATGAATTATCGAGGTAAACTTATTTGGGTTACCGAACTTATCATAATTTTTAAGTGGATTAGGGAACTTCAATTCATCATAATCTGGCCACCAAATTTACAATTTTATTTCCCTTGATTAACCCTAAGGAAGATATTTAATATATTCATGCCAATGTTACATCCCTATCATTTTTCCACTAGGCACATTGGCGTTAGAGAAAGTAGTTGATTAAAACTAAAGTACAAATTAGTGACTCAAAGGTGAAATATGAAGTCCAGCAACAAGTTAATGCACTGTAAATTTTTTTTTTTTTTTTGACGTAGGAGGTAAACCCTTGGAGGCCCAACTACCGTGAGTACGTACTAGGTAAACTCAGCTCCATGTGCAGTAATCCGCAAACCACACAGGAGAGGTAAACTGCATTAGGTAAGCTCGG